TTTGCACAAACTTCCAGTTTTCCGAAGTAGTGCAATTTAATCTATGTCTAATTTATTTGTTCTAACCACAATTCAATTATTAATTTTTCCAGGAAGGTGAATTAATTTTTCCAGGAACTGTATTAGGGTGTCTCATTCTCAGAATTTTTTTTTTAAATCTTATTTTATTGAGAAATAATATATTTTGTCTAAATTAAGGGTATTGAGTATTAGAGCTGTGTGAGAGCCAATTTGTTTCATTTACACTTAAACATGACTCATGTCCTCCAGTGTTCTTTAATAATATCGCTCTACCACCTTCAAAAACTGTACGATATTTGGGCCTCCACTTGGACAAACGACTGACATGGACATACCACATAAAACAAAAAAGAAAAGAACTTAATCAGCGATATGGACTTCTTTCTAGGCTACTTGACAGACGTTCTAAATTATCTGTGACTAATAAACTAACTATTTACAAATCCTCATTAAACCACTTTGGACATATGGAATCGAACTATGGGGAACAGCAAAGAAATCAAATATAAAAATCATTCAGTCATTCCAGTCAAAAGTCCTTCGGAAAATTGTAGACGCACCCTTTTATGTTTCAAACCTCACGTTACACACTGACCTTAACACTCCTTTCATCACGGCAACTGCCACTGACCGCTTTAATAATTTTCATGACAGACTGACTCTAAATTCCAATCCACTTACTGATGCTTTATCTACTGCCACAAATCCATATAATCCGCCCAGAAGACTGCTGAGGCGCTGGCCAAGAGACTTATTGCATTGAGCTTCTTGCTGCATTATCTTTTCTTTTTTTGTGTGTTATTCTGTTAATATGTATGTGTTATGTTCTTTTTTTTTGTTGTTTTTTTTTTTTTTTTTTTTTTTTCTTTCTAGTTTGTTATTACTATTATTTTTTTTTCTTATGCTATCATTTCTTGTCCTTGATATCATATTTGCTGAATACCAATGTAGATGGCAAATTTATTGTGAGCCAGAAATATGTATATCTAATAAAAATTCACTGTTTTTTTAAAGAAAATTTTGTCCATTCCACGATGGTGTACTTAAAATTTCATTATGTTTTCACTCGTAAAATGGCTGTAACAAAATTCCATTGGAAAAATTCAACTTTATGTATGTTCGGAGCTAACTAGAGCAATATTTTTCTTCAGTGAGAACAAAATTAATTTAAGCTGAAATGTAAAAATATGTGTTAACACAACTCTGATGTTTTAGGAGGAAATCGAGACCACGCCGAACTGGTTGAACTTCAGTAGAAAGAAACACAAACATAAATATTTTTTTTTTCTTTTATAAACTAAGAGTAAACATTAAATTATAAATGGAAAAAATTAGATTTACCGCGAAGTACCCATTTTTTTTTTTTACAATAAAATGAATGGAATTGTGGGCTGGAGCGAAATCATGCTGGAAAACTCAATGACTTTCTCCAATCAGAGCATCATTTAGAGGCTTGATAACAGGTTCCAAAATATCGTCCTGATAGTTTTAGCGTCTGTTTTAACTCATTTTTCACAAAATAGAGCTTTGTGGTGTCATCAAAGCAAACCCTCCACCAAACCATCACTGAGGAAGGGAGAGACCCTTTTCCTCTCTTCCACTGACTTCCTGAACTTTTATAGAGCTGTGTGCGTACCCACAATAATTTTGGCGATTACAATTTTCTTCAATTGTAAAAATTTTCTTATCGCTAAACAAAATCTTTCGATGATTGGTGAGTGATCTTTCGATCTTTGCCATTGGTGTAACGGCCAAGGAGCACTTTGCATCTATCTACTCTATTTTTTTTTAAGGAAGTGGTTAGCCTTTGTCCTGGCATTCTTAGAAAATGCAACCCCATCCTAAGGTTACTTTTTATTATGCGAGACAGAGATTCCCATTTCCTGAGACATGATATGTTGTGTTCGAATGGGATTTCTTCTGATTGGAGGAGTCACTGCTCTCACTGCATTAACGATCCTCACAGTGCGGGGACTGCCAGGTGGAGGTCTGTCATATACAGATAGGGTTTCATTATATCTATATATTATAGTGCGGTACACGAACATACGGCTGATACCCAAAGGTTTCAAAGTGTTGAAAATCTCTAACCTACATTTTCCTTGTTCTCCCCTTCCTCGTCTTTTAGGCTATACTGGGTTTTACCAGGTCAGGGGGTGAGGGCTGTGGATAATTACCGGAGTTAAAAGTCCTTCTTGGGCACCGAGAAGCGAAATCATAATTACTTTGTCATCAATAACTAAGGTTGCCTGGTTGCCGGACAACACGCGGTGCTGTGCACATGCTTTAGCTCACTCGGCCATCCCACCCCCATTCTTATATATTCATGTATATATATACAAAATTTTGTTTGTTGTCAATTGTAATTTAAATTATTATTACGTATATATTGTGCACATTTATTTTATTTTTTTTTTCATGATGATGCAGTTTCAAGTTATGAAAATATATCTCTTGATTCCATTTGACGCCTGATGTATTTTTTTTTAAATTTTACTGATTTAGAAATGAATTTACATATATTCAAAGGAATGAAAATTGTAAATAATACTGTCAATGTGGGTTTATTCGAACCGGTTTTTTATGATAATTTGTATATTTTAAACCACATAGAAACATGGATTTTTATAGTTCAGTTTCTCTGAAGTATGAAGAGAGTAAAAATCCCTTTCGTTTACACTGTGTTGAGATTAGAATGTTGTATTATTATTTTATTTTTAAGTTGAGCAAAGTTTAAAAGTTAGAAGAATTCACACTTTCCATAACATATTTAAAAACCTGAGAATAAATGCAATTTAAATATGTCTCTATCAAATTATAGAACTATTAATTAATATTACAGTTTGTCTTTTTAAAAAGTACTTTTCTTTAAATAATTGAAGGGACTGGTTTCATTTTCCGAGCTTAATTAAAATTGTTTATTGATATAAAATAATTATAAAAATTGTAAATTAAAAAAAATAATTATAAAATATAATAATAATAAATAATAAAAAGGCTTATTATTATAACCCGAAGGTTCGCTTGATGCCGACACCATCAATCGCTTATTACACACCTCCCTCCACCGTTCGCCGTCCAAACCCAGTCCCTTCAGATCGGTTTTAATACAATCTTCCCACCTTCGCTTCGGTCTACCCCTCGGACGCTTACCATTCGGCACAGCAAATAATAACCTTTTAGGAATTCTCTCGTTACTAAGTCCAACAACTTTACAAACCCATTTGATTCGCCGCGATGAAATTATCTCAATTATATCACTCGGATACAGTTCACGCAATTCGGCGTTGTGTAACCGTCTGAACTCTCCGGTTAACTCATCCTTCTTCGGTCCGAATATTCTACGCAATACTTTATTTTCAAAAACCTTAAGACGCTGCTCATCCCTTAATGTAAGCGGCCAAGTTTCGCATCCATAAAGAACTGCAGGCAAGATAATTCTTTTATTGATTCTAATTTTTAAGTTTCGGGAAAAGAGGCGCGAACTAAGTAGTTTTGTCACAGAAAAATAACAAGCATTTCCCGCCTTCAGTCTAACCTTAATTTCTTCTTCAATTTCGTTTTTTCTAGTTATCATAGAACCTAGATACCTAAACTTATCTACCATCTATATCGATATCACCAGTAGTATCGCCATTTTTGCAGCTAACCATATATTTTGTTTTATCCACGTTTATTTCGAGTCCTAAATTATAAAATATATTTTTAAAAAACTTTATTTTAGGTGAATCCCAACCAAAATTATCCTAATTTATTATTTTTTTTAATTGATTTGAAAATACTAATATGTATGTTATTTAAGGATTGAAAGTTTAAAAAAAATTGACAATAAACCAATTAGGAAAGTTAGCTCTACTTGTAAGGATACATTTCTCGGAGAAAAGTACCTCCTATTCATGATTCAAAATTACCCACAGACACATTTTTATAAATTATGAATAAGAAAGGGATTAAAACCAAAAATGATCTTTGATTAATAATCACAGTCGAAGCAACCTTGCAATAATAGTTTGTATGTTGTTTGACAAAGAATAAAACCAAGAGAAAGAAAAAAAACAAGAGAAAACGTATGTTCATGTATAAACTGAAATTTTCACCCTCCAATCTGAAGATATATTTTCCCTCTTACATTACCACACCTTTAATTACAAAAAGAAAAAATTAAGGTATTGAAGCAATGTTATCACTTAACTATTTTGATAGTGTACCCTTAATTTCCACTAATTCTCATAACTTCATCATTGAGCAAACTTTTACTATTTTTGTTGTGTATAATTGTATTAAGGAGGATAGGTAGGAATAAAAATAGCCCTTTTAACAAATTTCCTTTTTATTTTTTATTATACAAACCAAATATATCCGTTCATTAATTATTAATGTTTATATGCTTATATTTATTCATTTCGGATCGGATAATATACCATTTACACAATTAGAATAACATAATGGTTAGATGCACAAAAGTAGGCCAAATTTTGCAACAAACATTACAGGCCATAAATCAGTTAGGCCTTCCACTACTACAATATGTCCTATTTTAAGATCATAGGCCATGTTTACAGAGAACAAAAAATTAAGACTTAACACTCACAAATTGTCCTAAAACAAAAATTCTTTTCACACATATAAAATATACAGCTCATTAGATAATGGGTATTTACAATATTTATAAATGATCTTTCTAGTATTAAACGATCATATTTATATACATTTTTAGTTTAATAGAAAAGTCAAACTAAAAATTTTTCTTCAATCTAATGGGGATGATAATAATAATAATACAAATACAAATAATAAGATATTACAAATAATAATAATAATAATGTGATGATACAAATAATAATAATAAAAAACAATCCTTTTTTCATTACCATTCATAAATATATAATCTATACATGTAAGTATATATATATAAATATATGGTTCAATAGTATGTAATTTATAATCACATGAAATATTAATATTAATATAGAAAGATTTTCTATAAGTCAAAACAATAAAGACTGGGAAAGAATCATAATTAATAATTTTTTTTATTATCTATTCATGTCAAAACAATCAGTATTAAAAAAAAAATTGAAAATTTAATCTACTTAATAAAAATAGTTATGAACTAACTACAGGCAAATTCTTTTGCTTGAATTGTCTTTCTAATTAATATTAAATTTCAGAAATTAAATTTTAATACTATATCACATCATCTTCATTCAAGGTTTTTCCTAAATCAACTTATTACAGTTACTACTTTAATAAACAAAACTCTTATTATAAAGTTAAATATTTATATATATAAATATATATATATTTATATGTACATATGTATATGTACAAAAACACTTAAATAAACTTTACAGAAATAAAGTTTCAGAGAGCAGTGTCGTGAAACTAATCTTACGTGTAATACAAAAAAAATCTACTATGTAAAAAAATAAAGAATTATAATACGTAACTGAGAATAAGAAAATTAAATTGAAAGACGATGCTGTTACTCTATATTTGTCCGTTTAAATGTACTTACATCATCTATTTCAAACGTTTCGAATATACATTCAGAGAAGTGTGCGTTTAATAACGCAAAGTAACTAGAAAAAGAAATTGATCACCCTCTTCTAGGAACAAACCAAACAGGTGAAGAAACGTTTGTTAACAATCGGTGTAGAGATAACAGTGACTGACTAGACTACATGGTATCCATGAGAATGTGAATGAGGAGGAGGAGGAGGAGGAGGAGGAGGTTCATGAGCACAGTCTTGTCCACGGTATTGGTATTCATAGCCACTTGCTCCAGAATACCCCTGGGAGGTGCTAGGGGCTGGAGCGAAGTATTCATGGCCATAGTAGGAGTAACTTTGTGGAGGATAGCCCTGCTGGCTCCAGCACCATGACTGAATATCATGTTGAGGGTAAGCAGCTGCCAGTGGTGGTGAAGGTGTGCCTACGCCTGAACTTGGAGCTGAGCCCAATGGAGAACAACCTTTGCCAGGCTCGCTCTTCACTTCACAGAGGCCCAGTGGAGAGCACTGGGGTGACTTGCCTTTCACTGGAGCCTTTCCAGGAGGACTTTGCTTGTTGGCTGCAGCGGCCTGCTGTTGTTGCAGTTGCTGGCGACACTTGGCCCTTCGGTTTTTGAACCAAACCTGTAACAAAAACAATGGTTATGTCTCATTTAATTCAGTTCTGTTATTATTTGATATGATGCTGATGGAAGTATAAAAAATATTTCACTTAAACTAAAAAAATATATCTTGAAAGCAATAATTATATGAAGTTTAAAAACCTGTCATAATAATAGCTTTAAGAATGATAGCAACTCAATTATCACTACATTTACATTTGTAACAATGTTATCTATACAATGGTTTGTGGAGTTGGTGGTGTTAAACTACAGTTTGGTTATGGGGTTTTTCTCTAGATTACTGATATTTTCCTGTATAAGAAAAACAATTGGTATGAATAATGACCTAGTGGGGAGTTCAAGGAATCAGAACCTATCCTAGAATTTCCTGGAAAGGTATTGACTCAATTTGTAACATGTCATGGGTTCTAACCTTCTGTGATAATTTTGCTTAATATTAAACATTATTATATTTTTTTTACTTCAACAACACTGGAATAATTATATTAAACAATATTAGCCCACAAAAAAAAGTTGTAGTCATTTATTATAAGTCTATTTACCAAGAGGCAGAGAGCACCAGTTTAATAAAAGGAGTTGGCTCAATTTTATTAAAAACAAGGAGAAATAAAAATAAGGCTGAAGCTGATAAATATATTTTTACAAAAATGTTAGCATCATAATACATCTGCTTCAGGTTAGATAAACCTATGAAAGCCTGAAGGATTACAACTAATTTCTATAATTAATTATTTTTGGCCTCTAGCAAACAATTGATCATGTTTGGAGAAACTATGGCTTAAAATTAATCCGGCAACGGTATGTTAAAGGAACGTAATCTACTGAGCTTGTACATTTTGATGAGATTCAGTACTCAATCCTATGGTCAGTAGAAAGAGGACGTAACAAAAGGTATTACTAAATTATTTAGTAAGATCTTTTTTTAACTTTATTTTAATGTTATTCCAGACTGGAACTGGAAACCACAAACTACAAATAAGGTGTAATTGTATAGCATAGAACGGTTCATATTTCAAAAAAACCGAACATAAAAGGCGACTCCGATCCAGTGTTGCCGTTTGTAGGAGGATGGAACAGCCTTGTACCTATGCCTTGACGTATGCAAAGTTATATTTTTATGAATGAAGTTTTGTTTTACAATTATTTACTATAGTATTATTATGTACTACTGAACTTCTGTTGCTTTAAAGAGAAATATATTGCAATTATATCTTCTTTGATTATTTCCTTCATAAAACCATGATTTTATGTATATGTTTTTTTTTTTCTAGAAAACAAAATTTAAAAAAAATGATACCGTCGTTTTAAAAAAATATTTTAGATTTTTATCGAATATAAAATAAAATATAAGAAAGTACGACCATTATTTCCTTCATACAACTACAATTTCACAGAATTCATTTAAATAGTTCCAAGTAAGCAAAATAAAAATTTAATAACAAAAAATTAATATTTATTCATTTCAATTATATGTCATAATAGACGAAGTCATAATAATGTATTTTCCATTTATTTTTAATAATGATAGGAATACTGTATCCTTTAAAATGTTTATTTTACTATTAAGTTTTATAGAAAGTGTTCCAATAATTTCTAAAAACGTATGCACTTTTTTACATATTTAATTTCGTACCTTAAATTAAACTCATTTCACTTCTTGACTCATTAATTAAAACAAAAATAATATAAAAAGGCTTTAAAATATATGAATAGAGTTAATTAGCAAAGCTCTGATGTAATTTAATTTTTAAAAAACAATAACATTGAGCCTACAATAGTACGAATTTTCAATGAGCGTACGAGGTTTGAAGTACGAGGATTTGTCTCAGAGCGAGCGGCAACTCAGCTCCAATCCCTCTAATAATAAAGGTGGTTGAGAAAAAAATATCAATACAAATCCTTTAGAACACCACATCATTTGAGTTTATTTCGTCTTGAGTGATCTCATCTCCCAACAGTTACGGATTACCGAACTAAATACGTCATGATGAAATTTCCTGTTTGAGACTCAACGTTTCCTGTTGTAGATATGTTCAGCCTCTTCCGATTCTGCAGTTTTGAAAATATTGTCAAACTTTATTTAATGCTCTACATGGACGGAAATACGAAATGCTGAATGCGGTATCTAATGAGTAGCTTATACTTTAATATTTAAGACTAGTAGTGGATTCAGAATTTAATTTTAAAGGACTTGCTTTTTCATTCTTTTTTTTTTTTAATAACGGTAATGAATCTAGAATAAAAAGAAAGAAACTGCAGAAGATAATGTTTAAATGGCTCTTGAAGATCTCGCTGTTTTTTTTTTTTTCAGAAAGAACATTGCTATTAGCCAGCTAAGATCACTCATAGAAACCAATATGGATCGATGGAAAAAAAATTCCCTTTTGTGGGAGAGGCTTCAGTCCGAAAGCCTATTTATTACCTCTACTTATTTAAGGTATAATAGAAGAATAGGAAGGAAGTTACATAAATAAAACTGTGGCAACGATATGAGATTGTCTGTTGTGGGGAGCAAGATCAATTCCAGTCCATTTTTAGGTTCGTGCACCCTCTTACATTTTAATTAAAGAGACGTATATTACGTCAAATGTTTTTCAGAAATGGGGCTTTGTCAAAGTCAAAGTTTGTTTGTTTCTTCGTTTTGACGACTTTGAAAAACTCTGCCGGTGCACTAACAGGCTAATTAATACCCTCTCGGGAAAGATTCCACCGAAAAGATTGGACGAGATGTAAACAAACCGCCCCTTTACGCCCCCAATCAAGAGATGTATGGTACCTGCACTCGTTAGTCTAATTGGAAGAGGCACCACTTGTAATGAGGTCAATCGACCTGATACCATCCCCTTATCTGTACTCCATTACTCATTCTCTAAGCCCCCTATTTTCTTGAAAAGGATTTACTTTTAAATCTTTCTAGAGCCCAATGGCTTTGTTCCATTGTTTGCCCTCAAAGGGGGCGAAGCATGTTTTGGGCTTTTGTTCTTATGCCTATCGATTGGATGATCAGGTACTCAGTTAGATAACAGGTATTATGGGCATGAAAGACTTCATGTCGTTAGTTTAATGCATCAAGTTAATTGGAGCAAGTATTTTTGTAATGGGATGAAAAACAAATAAATTTTATAATCGTTAGTTGTAGGCGGCATCAAAACATATCCATTTTCCGACTATAAGGAGCGATAAATTTTATGAATGAGGTATCTAACAAAACAGGATATTATAGAGAAGTGACGAATCCTAAATCCGATCGAAGCTGCGGTTACGGTCCCCGGCGTCCGATAGCTTCATGTCAGATATAATAATTATTTACGTTTGCATCTATTTTATATCTATCCAACTCCCATTCAAATATTTTTAACAATGGCTATTTTAGAAATTTCGTATGATAGGCAAAATTCGAACAATTTCCGGCCGAGATCGATATGAATGCCGCAGCTAACGTGTTAAATTCCTACAACTTCGATAAAAGTCACAGAATAATCGAGAGGTTTTAAAACTCAGATAGTTTCAAAAGTAGTCGAATAGAAACGTGATGAATTTGAAGATTTCGACGCGGACTTCAAGGTATAGTTCCTTTAGAATTTTACAGATCCCTCTGTTTTAAAGCCGTAATTATGTGCAGTTTATGACGAAACTCTATTAGGTGATATGGTTACAATGGGATACTTATATATGGAATATAGATTAAAATAATGCCATTTAGGATAGTCCTCGACAAACTAAAAATCGATTGAAAAGGTGGATGGTGGAGAATAGCTGTATGATCCCTTGGGCACTTCGAATAAAACCTAAAAAATTACTTGATATTTTTTATAAATAAAAAAAATCAAGTACAGTTTCTATACTCTTAGTATAAGAAATATATACTCTTAGTAAGTCTTGAGCAAATAAAATAATGGAAGAGACAGCTGTTTCTTACTGCTTAACTGTTGAACTGGAGCGATATTTTTCAGTGAAATAAACTTATAACTCATTAAGTTAATTTTTAGCTGCCGTTTTTGAGCTCACCATTTTTGGGTATAGAATAGACTATTTTGATAATATTATATAATGTTTCCCAATGTCACTTTTACGTTACCGTATAATATTAAGAGAATGATAGTCATTTAATGTGAGACTTCTCACAGGAATGAGTATACTGGTGATATTATAATATCGATAAGTTTTTTAAACTTTAAATTGTATTTGTTAGCTGTAGTTTTGTTATATGAGTAGGAATTGATATAATTGTAATATAGGGCGAAAATGACTCAGGTGGTTGAAGAGCACAAAAAACATATATAAATAAATAATATCGATAAGAACAAGCATATCACTGAATAAATTGTCAATTTACTTTCCTTTCTAATTTCAAAGAAAAAATGTCACTTGTATCACGGCTGGATGGGCACCGAAGGTAACGATATCATATAATATTTTTTTCTGAAAACAGTAATCCGACTTTTATATTTCAAACCGTCCTTAATATTCTAAATACTATATTGACAACAACGTTCTATAAAAACAGATTACCTAGAATTCATGCAATTAAGGTCACATTGATTTGGTTACTATTTAGAAACTATTTAATATATTCGTTATAATTCGAATGTGGGTATTTGTAAGTTTGCTAAACAACTAAAATATAGCATGCAATTGTCAATTGAGTATTAAATACATGTGTAATCAAGAATATTGTTTGGAGGTGTCGTTGTATTCAATAATTATACAAATCCAGTGTCCCTGTTTATTTAGCTCACAGTTCTGTCAGAAGTTAGGCCTAAGCCAGGAAACTGCAAAGCAAACCTTAAACTACTGCTATTTCCTGGAAGGAACAAGGCTACCCACTGCATCCAACAGTTCAATTTAGACTTATTATGGAAGGGACTGACTATGAACTAAGAAGTCTGTGGATGCACTAGCAGATCCAGGATTTAATTTTGGAGGGGGGGGGGCTTCAGCCCGAAAGCTTTTTTCCATAAAAATAACGATAATTACTTTAGAAATACAGAAAGAAAATAACTACCTATATGAAATGGTGTTTAAGTGATTCATAAAGTCCTTTTAAATGTAATTACACGAACAATAATACTTTTAGAGGTATTTTTTAATTTTTTTTCCCATAAACCATGGTTATATTTTACCATTTTGAGGGAGGGGGGAGGAGGCTTCAGCCCGAAAGCTCTCCCCCGTAGATCCGCTCGTGTTTGGGTGTAAGATTACAGTACATTACGCGAAGGAGTATAATATTAATGACAAATGATAAATTAATTATGACAATGTTTCAAAACTATGTCTTAAATTTGCCTTTAAACGTTTATGCGTCTAAATCAAGTATTTCAAGTTCTGAAAAAAGGTACAACCATTGGTTAAATTAAATATTTTATTTTTATTGGTTTAATTATATTAATAATTAAGCTTATTATAAGTCAGGGCTGTGATTGTTTTCCAAAAAAAATGCATTATTAAAATCATGCATTCTTTGAATATTTGGAAAATTATACGAGCATAATATGCTTCTTTCACAAGTATTTAGAGATAAAGAACAAACAATTACCCAAGCTTCAGGGAATATTAAAATAGATTAAGATGACAATTAATTTGCGAAAATTAGCACAAAACGGAAACTTTTGTGAATCCTTCCGAATTTTCGTCAAAAGAATTTATTTTTTTTCTCGTCGGTTCTGGACCAAGTGTGAACCTTTCCGCAAGCTTCCGAGCACGTCCTCAAACCCTCGAAGCTCTACCTGGTCCGAAGATCTAGACAGGACAAACAGTGTTTACAGAACATCCTAACCGGAGAGGGCAAGCAATACAAACCTGGTTTGTATGTTCCTTGTTATTCCACGGCCCCTGAATTACACGGTGTTCGTATCTGTATAGCGAAAGCCTATATAGAAACATCAGTCTAGCTGTCCTAAATAAATAACCAGTCTGGTAGTGGATGAAAGCAGGGCATCAATGGTCGCTTCCTGTGTTTACCTGACCGTTATCGGCCTTTAGAAATAAAAAAAATCTTTGGGCTATTAATCTTGGAAAATCAGCAAGACAATTGTGAAATCATTTTGGTGTTAAGAAGATACCGTTTTCAGAGAAAATATATTTTTTTTTTTTTTAATAAATATTTAAAATAATTGCCTAAGTTTCATTCATAACTATTTATTTATTTTTTCAATAAAGTAGAGTAAAATCTTCAGTACTTTTATAAACCTAAAATGAATTGTAACTGAATACGAAAACAAATAATGAATAAAAATTATTTTTTAAAATTTAGGAAATAATAGTTCCAACCACGAACAACTTTATATAACATTATTTTTATTTTTTGGTCGATACGCCATATTTACTTAAATAACTCATTAAAACCAATGACATTTCAAACAAAGATTACCACGATCGCCAAATACGAAAAATAAACACATTTTCGGAAAGAAGTTATTCAAAAAAGGAAACTTTATTCCCGCATAACTCAAAAAGTATACAATTTATGATGCGTTATTTTCGTAATAATTTAAAAGTTAATTCTGTTCCTTACGAAACAAAAAAAAATTAAAAATTATGCGAAAAAGGATAATTATCAACAAAGATATTGCCTTGAGTTTAGTCAGCATGTTTATGCATAAATTTTTGCATATCTGTTTTTGTTGGTTATTTTCAATAATGAACTTTTGTAATCTACTAAAAAAAAATTTTAATCCTCCTGCAAATTTTAAGGTTTACATTTAAAATCTATCAAAATATCGCAGCTCCTCTCCTCTCCGAGACTACTGCTTGTTTTTTTTTTTTAAACATTTAGAAACTAAGTTAAGTTCTCCTAAGCTTAGTCCAGCATGATACTGGGAACTCGACGTATATTTCGATAGATGGTAGAAGCCGTAAAAAAAAAAAAAAAAAAATTCTTTACTTATAACAAATCCCAGAGAAAAAGCAGGAGATATATTTATTTTGACCGCTCACGGCTCTTTCCTTAACGTATTGTATTATAATCGCTTATGAGCCATTTTAATCGACTACAAAAATAATAATAACCCTTCCTCCTAAAATTTATAATGTTAACTTATTTCCACATTATGATACCTTTTGTTGGCTGGCAATGGATACAATGAGAATTATTATCTAGGCCCAAATGGTAACATAAGATTTAAAAAGGGTATAACGTTTTATCGTTACATTTAGAAATTTGCTAGAAGCGGTTTTTAAAATAAATATTGTAAACACAAATTTAGGATCCTGAGAAAAAAAAAACAAAAAAAAACATTTCCCTTGGGAAAGTTGCAAATAAAACATTTTTAGTCTTTTAAAAATTAGCTGAATTCACTTTTATTACTTATCTATGTGATAGCGACGATATAATCTCAATATTTACAAAATGACCTTTTTTTTTTACGACTTTAAAATATATATATTTTTAATTTGATGCTACTCTATGCTATTATTACGAACAAGTTTTTTCTGATATAAAATTTTAAAATATCTTTGTTATTAATAATGAGAATACTTTGAAAAAAAGATACAAACAACAGAGAATAAACCATATATTTATTTTTAACTTATATATTTCATACCAATTTAAAACTTTTATAATTTTTTTTTTTACAAAAGTTCATCTGATTATCATTGATTCAGCGATAAAAGATAAATAAGTGTCCGTCATAGTTTCAAGCTAACAATATAGGTAATGAAAAATTCGAAATAATTATATTTTAAGATCAAAGATTTTATTAAGTTAGGCTTCAGTTTGTTTACAGACAGATCAGGAGTTTGACCGCCGCAATATGTTAAGATAAGAAATCATTCCACCTAAAAGAACTTTGAACCCAATAACAAAATTCAATATACCCATAACAGTGTGCGATTTCTAATTTCAGTGTTCATATATAGCATATATCAAGAACAAAACGATTTAAATTTTAATAAGATTAAAAAAAAAAAATCAACTGCGAAATCCGACATTTTTCGAGCCTCTCAATAAGCACAATAGTAATATATTTTTTATTTATTATAATATAGAAATAATTTATCAAATTTCAAATTTTATGTGATTTCACTTTACTTTTATTTTAATGTGTTATTTATTTTATTTAAATGTCAAGCAAGAAAAGTATAGATTAACAACAATAACTTAAAAGATGATTAATGTGATCGTACCATAACTTCATATTATATTTAAATTCGAATTTAATTTATAAACAAAAATGAAGTGGACAGTGATTATTTTAATTTTTAATAATAGTTCTCAGGAAGTATTTAATGTTTTTTAAATTATTTTTTAATTCAATACATTACCATGTTTAATAATTTACAGATGAACTATTATATCTGAAGAAAAATAGCTTAAATTAAGGAAGATTAAAAATCCTTCACAATCATACTTGGAACTTTTAAATAAGTTTCATTTTAAGTTTGAAAGTAACCTTTTTGAAAAAGTAAAATAAAACTTCTGGGCTTATGATAAAGGTTTGACTTTAATTTATTTTAGTTAAAAAAAAGGTTTGTCAATTCAAAAGTAAGTGTTATATGGGAGTACTGACGCCTTATTCTTATATGTTTACAGTTTGAATATCAAAGAATATTTAGTCCCCAAAAACTATTTAACAAAAGAAATAAAAAGTTAAAAGTCCATTTTACCACTTTTAACCATAACCATTAAAACCAACGAATTCTAGTTCCAAATGAAAAAGAAAGAGAATCGAAAATAAAAATTTCTGTCATATTGAATCTGATTAAAAATAAAAATTAACTTTTGATTTCAAACTCCCTTTAGAATCTAACAAGGACCAAATCAAAACTAATTTCAATTATTTTTTTTTATAGACAAAATAATATTTAGACAGGAAACTTATGAGTATTTGGGTGTAATTACTAATAGCAAAATTCGTTTAATTACTTAATCTCTACAGTCTTCTGAGGAATGGTACAAAATATTAGCTGTTAATTTCCAAATCCTTTCGATAATGAGCCAGGATTATAGGCTTTACTAAAAGGTACTAAACATCGAAAGCTACAAAGTAATAGGTTTGCTCATTTCGAAACCACCAAGCGTTTAACCCACCATTGAATATTCCATTGTTTCAAAATAGCCTTTAAAAGGCTTTACTTAGGCTGTATTAAGTTCTATAGGATTATTACTAATCACATTGGTCTCAGTTATGGAATTACTTCTTAATATTCAGTTTGTATCTTATGTTAGAAAATCGGGATTATTTCCTTACCTGTACTCTCGATTCTGGTAAGCTGATCTTGAGGGCGACTTCCTCCCTCATGAAGATGTCCGGGTACCTCGTCTTGGCGAAGAGGGATTCCAGTACGTCGAGCTGCGCCCTCGTGAACGTCGTCCTCTCTCTCCTTTGCTTTCTCGGGTTCATACCTGGAAAAACACGCATGGTGTTAGAACTGACGATGTCTACTTGAACGAGTCGACTAATGTACTGAGGAAGGAATTCTTATCTCCAGAGGAGCCCAACAACGTAAACACGCCAAGGGCCAAAGGGAACTCGAGGAAAGAAAACTGTATATATGTAAACAAATGTACAAACAACATGGTTAAAGAGCAATGTGATATTATATCGAATTTCTCATTGTTTCAAATGTAACATTAATTCAGAAAATATACTGCTCCATATTCTATGCATAGGATCGTTAATAAATTGTTACTGTAGAGTGAAAGTGTAATAACACGATCAATTTAAATAAATCCACAAATTGAAAATTAAGACTAAAAACAAGTTCTTATTAGATTAAAGAAAAATCTTGTAATTATTTTGTAATAAAGTTGTCATTCAATTAAAAAGATCCCCTCCGTCCTCTTCAAGTACTCCACTTAATATAAGAATATATTTTCAAATATTTAATAACAAATATAAAAAAAATAAGTGACTTATCCCAAAAAAGCGTATATTGTAATTAAATCTACTGCAATATTTTATATCGATAAAGAGCGTAAAATTAAGATGTATTAATTAATAATAATAAAAGACAATTGGAATTATGTACTGATAAATTGCATACTACTAATTCGCTTATTACAAATCTTACGTGATGACACAATGATATATTCTTCAACCAGCTAATGTGTTTATAATGACGACTATTTTATCAATTTTGGACTTCAATGCATCCCGGAAGTATATGTAAATAATCCAAAGAAGTGCCATATGCATTACAGCACTTATCGTCGACACCATGTTAAAGTAACGAATGTGAGCCTGTTTAACGATGTCTACTCGTTACTTTAATTAACATGGTGCTGACAATATGAAGAATATTACTATTAATCTTTATTAACTTAAGATTTTACGTTTAATTTCCATTGCTTATTTATTATTAAGATAAACATTAGACGTGTGTATCAAGTATTAAGTTAGCATTTCTGATTGGCCAGAAATGCTTAAAACCGTTTTTTCCAATGAAATACTGTGATTCTATTTCATTATTCTATGGAAAATAAAACATAAATAATAAAAAATAATATATAAAATATAAACACGCTTGTATGTCGTAGCTTTCAATAAATACTTTAATCTCTGAAAAGTAGTAAAAAAAGTAGTAAAAAAAAGTAGTAAAAAAACTGTAAAGCAGTTTTTTTAAAAATATATTGTATTTGTTTTTTAAATATTACTTAATAGTTACATATGTCTTGATTTTCGAATTCGAATTCGATCCTTATTCAGATATAATAGACTTGAAAAGAAAATTAAAGTATTGTGTAGCCGACTCTCACACTCGAAGAGATAAACTAACTCTTAGACAAAAGGAAACGTCCAAGGAAAAAGGACAAAATGGATGTTGAGAGGAGCCCTTTTGTTTTTGAAGCAATGATTATCCGTTAAGGAATGATATATATTTATGGAGTTAAGGCTATAGGATGACAAGATGGCGGTCCCGGGTCCGGGTATTTATAGGAATTAGGGGAGGACCGGTCCTGGGCAACATGGCCGGGCCCCCCTCCCAGGATGCCTCGAGCCGGGAGTATCCCGGCTACCGTCGGGAGCGATCTAAAAATACTCCTCCACAATGGCAGCCTGATTGCCGGCTCGTGGGCGTTCGGCTTACTGTCCTATCAAGAGCTATTTCTAGCTTATTTATGCCGTGCCTTTCCTATTATATGCGACCGTCTATAAGACCGGCTTGTCAAACTAATGCAATGACATAACCTCTTTTCATATAATAGGGGTTTTATTTTGTTTTTAATATAGGCTGTATTTAAAGAGATATTGATACTTATACAACGCGGAACTGCGGGATGTGCACAAGTGTTTGCATATTGAATCATACATGTTCGCTGCATCATACGTGGAAGCTGCTCTTGATGGATTCGGACAATAATTTGATAGATTAAATAGTATGATACACAAATTGTTCCCTTTATCAGAGACCGAAGGAAAACGGGCCTAGACTTGAGACGAACACGAATGAAACATTTTTAATAGCACGAATTTAGGAATCAAATGTGGAGGAATAGTTGACGGCAGGTAACATGGATGGGAAGTTGGCGATTGAAATTATATAGAAAAAAAACATTGTATGCCAAACCGTTTCGGCATTAAATTTCAAGTCTTCGTTAGGGCTACTTATGTCTCCAAACAACCAACCTAGTGGAGACACAAATTGTTCCCTTTATGGGAAACCGAAGGAAAACGGGCCTAGACTTGAGACGAACACGAATAAAAAATTTTTAATATTTTTTATAGTTGCTATTATAAATATTTTAATAGTACAAATTTAGGAATAAAATGTAGAGAAATAGTTGACGGTATTAAATATGGATGGGAAGTTACTTGGGAAACAAATTGCTTGTATGCCAAACAGTTTCGGCATTAAATCTCAAGTCTTCATTAGGGCTGCCTGTTGTGTCTGCAAACAACCAACCTAGTGAAGAGCTATTAACCTATAAAGAAACATCCGAATAAGCCGATAAAAAAATAATTTAATTTGCCTTCTCGTTTAACTTCTCGAACAATAAGAGAGATAATTTTAAGAATCCCTGTCCTAAAAAGGTCAAAACGAAGTTCAGACGAAGATGTTAAAAGCGAGAAAAGATTAGAGACTCACTGTCTTTAGACTACCCAGTCCATATTTTACAGAATCATCAGATTAAAAATCTACATTACTTTCTAGTGTTTATTATGGATGTGGTACATGACTGCTTAGATTAAGAGAAGAACACGGCCTTTAGATTTTCGAAAATGAAGTACTCACAGTATACTTATGCTTGAAGAAAGCAAACTGGAGTGGCGTATTTAGACGCGGAATTGCGTTTCCTACAGCCGGTGTATGGATTCGGAATGACAGCGACAACTGAAATGAACATGTAAATATGTCGGTCTTCTTAGCGAAAGATATCACTATAAACAGATAAAACGAGTCGTCGATGGGAGGATTGTTTCTAATAATAGTGTAAAATTCAGAACACTTCTACATCGGTTCCTGAATACAGTTTGTTCGTTAGCAGCATAGTCTGTATACTGCCTAAATGGTAAAGACTACAATAAATTACGGAAAGTACTCTATGGAACTTTGCACATGTCGCAATGAGTACGCAGTTGCTAATCGCTGGGTGTGATGTAAGACCACTGAATCAAGTTAGAGGTTTCTCTAAGCCGAGAGGCAGAGCAATGATGAATAGGGTTGTTTGCTAGGGTCGTGATCATGTCTGAGGTCCTCTGATGTCACTATCTCTAGTATGCTAGAACTGTTTATTCCTATTTTGTATTTTTTAAAGTGTATTATTCTCATATTCCGGAGACAGTATATCTCACAAGTATTCCCTCCTTGCTTCATACCATTTAACAAAAACAAACTGTTTTCATTGCATAAATATTTGACCGATTTTTAAATAATAATTATGTGAGTAGGCATTATTTGCGAAAATTGAATTTGATCGTTAGTGAGCCGTGTTAAGGCCTCCCATTTCGACATATACTAAAAAAAAATAGTTATTAAAAAATAACACAAACATAATAGCAATTGAAGGATTGGGTGTAGTTTTTTGAGGATGCTAATAATCAACGTTTACAATTGTTGTTTTATGCAATTAATACAGACATTTTTAATCAAACCTGTTCCCAAACAACAGGTATAATTTTTAAAATAAATAAAATTAACCACCATATGTTTTCCTACAACATAATGAAATGCATTTGAGGCATTATAAAAACTGAAGAGGAAGAAAAATATATCGACGATATTATATTTTATTTACAAAACAAAGGCATTAAGGCTAATTATAAAAGGGGCATAGAGCTGTTTAAAAGTTAATTCTGTCTATACTCACTCACATAAATGGTCTGGAACAAGAAATCTTCCGAAAGAATGAATCCTTGAAATTATTATTTACTCCGGGAAAATAAACAACGTATTTCCAGGGGAGTATATTCCTTACAAGTGTAAGCTTTTGAGAAAAGGGCATAGGGAGAAGGCAAGCCTGACTGAGAAGCATTAATATGTAAATCTCGCTAAAAGAGGATTATAAGTTCCAGCCGGGCCCTTCCACCAACACCAGCAGTACACCGAGCTCTTCACTCTCTTCTCCAGACATTTTTTTTTTTCTTTTCCAGACACTTTTTCTAAGAGATTTAGAATCACTACTAACCACAGACAGCTTACGTTGTTTAATAGCTTGATTGACTGGCCCACAGGAGTGAAGAATTTCAAGTATCCATGAAGTGGATGGAAACAATGCGTTCTTGCATCATGTTTGGACAACATTAATTTAAACGTTTTTTATTTGTTCTTGTTTTTTTTTTTCAAAGGCTTTGGTATAGTTTTCTTAAAACACAGTACATTTTATAAAATTTTTAATCGATATTTCAATTAATTATTGGGGTGTCGAATCCCAAATAAATTTATTTCTAAACACCAATCTTTGGTTTCTACATATTTTTAAACGCATAGTCTCAAATTGTGAGAGGTTAATTTTTTTTTTTTTTGTTGATGAAAAAGAGTTACTATTGAAAAACATAATATAAACAAATTAATTTTTTAAAAATGTATGCAAGTATTTATATAATATCAGCAAGGAGAATATCATACACTAATTAAACCAGCATGTTTCGGAATTTTATTGTATTAATCTTGAACGAAATCAAATAAATTTTGAATTAAAAAACGGATGTATTAGATTTTTATTGTCTCCGTGACTTTCTCTAAGCGCCTACCTTATCAACGTTACGTGACAAAGACCCCCTATTATGCTGAATGTACGACGTTATGCAATGAAAAAAATCAATGATTTCTCTTATATTACTTCTTCATATTATATATAAATATATTTAATTCTTTATGTTGAACCAAAATCAAAGTGTTCCACTGAAACTAACTTAGAATTTTTTTATATACAAATTAATATATTTGAATAGAAATGCTATT